GTATACAGATTGCAGATTCACATCGGTTCCACATCCACTTTTTTACATACTGCCATACTGGTGTCTGTTGTATTCTGCTGCCCTTCCTATCCTCTACTATCCCCCCTCCTCTCCCCTCCCCTCACTCCCATCTTCTCTCTCTACCCCATCTACTGTAATTCATTTCTCTCTCTTGTTTTTTCCCCCTTTCCTCTCACTTCCTCTTATATGACATATTGAATCCTTCTTCTGACTTCCTCTATTACCAACAGGTATAAAAAAAGTTCTCTCCCTTTGAGATTAGATTGGGGCTTATATGATTACATTAGGCTAAACCAGATGGTCTCCCTGTCTTCGGCCCAATATATAATATTACATAATCACAGGAGAGGTAAATATCATATTCACATGTTTGGGGGTCAAGACATCTTCAAGGGACCATTATGCTATTTACTACCGGCCACTCTAGCCCCTAAAAAATTCATATCTATTTCATATATAAAATATATTTATTCAATACCCTCCAAATTTTCATTACATTATGGCATCAGCTCAAAATTCAAAAATCTCATGTATAATCTAAATCAGTTAGGATGAATTTTATGTTCATAATCGTACTCTGTGGATCTATGATACTAAATAAACATTCATCTGCTGTTATCATATAATGGTGGGAGAGAACAGGATAATAACTGTGACATTATGTTTCAAAATAGGGGAAAGTGGAAAGTAAAAAGGAGTCATTGATTCAAAGAAATTTTGAATCCAGCTGCAGACTCCTTAGGTTTCAAAGCCTGGGAAAAGTGCTCTGTGGTTCTTAGCTCTCCTCTGGGCTCTTGTGTCCTAACTTTTAGCTCACTTCCTGCTAATAGAATTTTAGAGGTCCAACAACTTTTCCTTTTGTAATCTCCTTTTCTGTTGAGTTCATGCTGTCGGTATTGCTGCTGGTATAGATACATCAAGAACCCATGAGTCTCCTATGGTACAAAGATTCATGTCATTTGACACATCCTCAGGTCACTTGCTTGCATGACTACTAAATAATAAATCAATGTAATTTTTTAGAGGCTAAATTTGTAGCATAATTTTACACAGCAATATAAAGCTAATAGCATGCTGAAAAAAGTCTCTTGAAAGACCACCCTCTTTTAAAGTAGCATCAGAGATGGCTTCTATGAGAATTCCTCATCTTAACTGAGTAAAGATCTATTTTCTCTGATCGAAACGTGGAAATCATTTGTGTGTGAATCTAGAAGCAAAAATGAATTTTAATAATTTCCTTTTTTAAATTGAAATTTTAAAGATAAAACTTTAAAAGAATCCAAGGTGGTGAGTGGGGGTAATGAAGTAAAGAAGGGACTTGGGCTCTTAAAACTTTTAAAAATAATTAATTTAACAGATTTTTTTTGAGCCACTACCAGACTTTGTACTGCTAGGAATGTGAAAAAAAACCAGACTGTGTGGCTAAGCTTAAAAAGATCAAAAGACAGATGAACAATCATCCTGACAATGATTACCACAATTAACTAAGCACAATTTATGTGCTAAGTGTTCTGCTAAGAATATCTGTACATTCTCATTTTCAACAATTAAACACACACATCCATAACAAAGGGCAAAATAGGACAACCTGCTAGGCAATGCTTATGGCTCAAAACAACAACAACAAAAAAACAACCAACAGTGATCATGAGGGAGATAGAGTACTGATTTCTTAAGTAAAGACTAGTTAGGAATGCACAAGACAGATAAGGTACATATGAGTGTCTAAAGCAGAGAAAATAGTTGATTTTTGTGGTGCTCTAATATACATCTGTTCATATCTTAGCATAATATGACTCCGAGGATCAGATTGCCAAATCAGTTTAGCACAAATTAAAATTTTTGACCAGTATGCCTTAATCTTCTATCTATGAATGAAGCTAAATCGAAATTCAGAGTATTGTGAAAATTGAGATAGTAGGAGTGAAAGCTAACACACTAACACAAGGATCAACAAATACTTATGGACTGAAGGATGAACCCTAGGACAAGAAACCTCAGATGTCCAAGGAGCAAGGGCAGGCATTTTGGGAAAGTTAATAAAAACAAGACCTTTGGGCTCCCTGCACCACCCAGGAGACATGGGAAATGGTTGAAGTCCCACTTTGTAGTTGTTAGTTTGAATTTTCTCAGTAAAGTTTGACCTCATCTTTTTTATTTATTTTTTATTTTTTTAGTTTGCAAATCCCTTGTATTTCCAGCTGATGAGAATTTGTTTATTTTTCATACTAAGGATTGAACCTAGGGATGCTCTAAATTGCTTAGGACCTTGCTAAATTGCTTAGGCTGATCGCCAATATGCAATCTTCCTGCCTCAGCCTCCAGTATGGCTGGGAACATAGACCAGAGCCACTGTGCCCGGCTGAGAAATTATTTTTTTTGAGAGCTGAGGTTACCTCTAGAGGTGAAAACAAAGCAAGTTACAGAAACGGAACACATGACAATTAAATTCATTTTTCTCCTCTTCTAGAAATTACACTTTGATTAGTTTGAACTTAATGAAGCTAAATTATAAGTCACTGTCATCTGACATTCCAGCTGTCCATTTGGTCAAACTGCACTTTCACTCTTAGAGGTTTAAGGGTTGCCAGCTGCAAGGAATCCTTCATGTTAAGGTCTAATTCCAGAAATTCCAGTAGTCCTTCACTTGGCATAAGCACCCGTGGTGGTGGTGATTTAGCTGAATAAGGTCAACATCTGCTGGTCTTGAACATGAAACGTCTTCATTGTTTCCTGCTACAAGGATCCTCTCCCAAATTTGCTCATCACACCAGCATTTGGACCTCCTTGGTATTCTTGCTCCAGGTCTGCCTTTGGTGGGACTACTTTTAATTTTTCCGGACTCTTTAATGCTCATACATTTGGTGTGTTCCATTTCACACGGAATGCTCCTAATTTTAGCAGCAGTGAGAAACTAGCATGCTGCCCTACTCACCAGATGTGTCACGCCTACTGCTTGCTATTTGGCATTACGGACTTGTGTGCTTAGATGTGAAATCCTTTCACTCGCCTGGATGTGCACGTGCTGGACGTGGAGAAGCTTTTGTCCCCCCAGGCCAGCCCGAGATCCAGGAGAAGAGCGGCGCGCTACGGCTGGCGGGCGCTCGGGTGGGCGCCAGCGAAGGCGGCGGCCAGGAGAGCTGAGGCGCGGGGGCAGGCACGGTCCCATTGGTGGGGAGCCCGGGAGCCTCAGAGCCGCGGGAGTCCCCAGGACCCGCATCTTCCCTCCGGATTCGTCTGTTCGGAGGCTGCAGTTTCAGCTCTCTCCGCCACGGGGCGCGGGTCCCCTGGTCCCAGTGAGTTCAGCGAAGGCAGCAGCTGAAGCCGGACGGGACGACCCGTCTTCCAGGTAAACACAACACCTCGGGTCGTGGCACGATCGCGATTGGCTAGAGGCCTCGTTTCTGCCACTTGATCCGCCCACAGTTGTGCAAGATGGGGAGCCTGGGTTCGAACAGAGGCGCGTTCCAAAGTCCGACTTCCTCATACCTTAAATTGAGAAGGATCCTCGGGGGTGGGGGCACAAGCAGGGACCTTCTGGCCAGGAAGGACGACAGCGCAGAGCTCCAAGGATCCGCCACCAAGGTCGGTGACAGCGAGACCACGTCTCTGGAGCCGCCAAGCTGGAGCTGAGACAGGAGCTGCGTGGTGCCGGGGCTGCGGCTGCGGGGCAGCGGCTCCTCCAGGCCGAGGGCCCCGCGAACGATGAATTGGAGACGGTGGCGATCCCCCGGCCAAGCGCCCAGGCCCCGAGCGTGCTGCGCTGGTTCACCACCGCGATCCTGTATGCGGCCTTCTTGGGGCTGGTGAGAGCTGGGGCCGCGACTTCCCATTTGAAGTCTGCCCTGCGTTCCCTGAGTATGGTGTAACTCGGGGAACATTTGAGGGCACGGTTCTAGCTTGTGGAGGGTCATTGTCAAATGGCGAAGTAGATTTTTCCTAACATGTTTTCAACCGCAGCAAATCTTCCTGGTCTCCTCTTTGCGATGGGAAGCCGCAAAAGGGATTGCACAGGTCTTTAGCCACTGACATCCACATCTGGAATTATGACACAGAAAAACTGCTTTTCTGGGAGTTCCTGTCCTGATGACTTGACCAAATTCAGCCAACCGCTTAGTTTTGCATAGGGAAGAGACCCAGGGAGGAAAATGACTTTCATGAACGCACAGCTGATTAAACGGCAGAGTTGGAAATATTGCTTATTCTGGACTTAGTCGTATTTAAAATCAAGCTCTCAGATCCCTAAATGCTTTTCTTGGAGCAAAGTGCAGGCTAGAAGCCCCTTTTGCTAAACTTCTGGGCTGCCCCTCATTCACTGTTTTTGGAAACGTTCTTCTTATCCATCCTGGGGAAATAGAGGTTGAGTCCCCTGAGGAGAGCCACTTGTGGCAACTTAGTATCTTAGAGACACTGAGCCACAATTATGTGTCAGAGTTTTGTCTTGTTTTGTTTTTAATTGGGATTGTAGGAGTGGGATGTGAGATATCACTGCAGATGCTTGGTGAGCCCTCATTGTGTGCCCAGTCTTGCAAATCTTTTGAAGGCATGAAGTAATTTGATTACAGCCAGTGATCTGGCTTTTCTCCATGTACTAGGTACTTGCTTTGCACCTGTGCTTACCTGGTTCTTAGTCTTGGACTGCTCCTTGCTGGGCACATTCTGAGTTTAGAGCAGAACAGTGCAATTAAAGTCAAGTATTCTTGAAATGTAATGAATTAGAAAGATTTTTTTTTTATTAACAGGTCCAAGGAATTTCTTCCGAAAGCTAACAGTTGTTAAAAAAGAAAAGGTTAGACAATTTAATCAATTTAATTTTAGTTTCTTTGCATAGAGGAATGATTCAGAAACCTGGCAGTACCTGAACCAATAAAGGTTCAAAAAGCTCCACCCAGGAGGGTGGGCAGGCAGTATTTATTGACAGAACAAGAAAGTGACATATAGAAATAACTTGAATGGTTACAGCTCATTTACCCTGGGTACACATTTCTGAGCTGTTTGCAGTATGTGATGGGCTAACCCTTGACTGCTCAGCAACTTATTCCAAGAATATACTCTCAGGTGCAGTTTGTTGACATATTAATGTATATTCAGGTTCCCCACATTCACAGGCAGCTTTAGGCCCAACATGACAATTCTAACCTTCTGGTCAGCTACTCAGTTTTGAGAAATTGACTGAAACCTTGAGCACCAACAGTATTTTCCACCAACACAATTGACAGGTTTGGCATAATTATAGAATTCACAATGTACACTGGCAAATGAGTTGGATGAGTATGCCTTCTTGGTGTTTTTCTTGCCAGTTTGATATATAAAAAAATGGCTACATAGAAACATTTGTGACTCTTGAGGGGATACAATACATTAGAGAGACATGATTGCTATCAGGAGGATAATACCAAGAAACTAAAGTACATTCCTTATCCAAAATCAGAGACTCCAAAGGTCACATAATGAAGAAGTTCAATGAAACCCAGTTGGTCATAGTCTCTGGAACATGATGTTGATTAAGGAGCAATAAATGGGCTGATATATAGCGATATCTATTTTTCTAGATGGCCTGGTACATAAGTCATAGGGACCTGGAGACCACCTAAACATGAAGTTTGGGAAAACCTGGAACAGCTAAGCTTGCCATCCTCCATTCCATTCAAGTTGTCAGCAAGCCAACTGTTAGCAGCTCTCAAATGCATTGTGTTTCTTTCCCTGAGAAATTTTCTTAATGTATGCAGTGGCAGTATGTAGAGAAGCAGCAGTATCATTAACCAGACTCTGTGTGTGTGTGTGTGGGGGGGGGGTGCGCGCACGCTGTGCATGGAACCCAGGATCTCATGCATGCTAAACACGTGCTCTAGCAACTGAACTACACCACCAGCTGATTAGCCATCTTTTAAATTGTTCTTTTTGTATTTATGAAATCAAGGGAACATTAAGCATAACATCCAGTTTTGTTTAGCACCACATACAAGCCCACTACATGAGCAGTAAGGAAATCTATAGCCAAATGTTGTTTCACTAAATGTTGTTGTTGAACATTAATATTCTCAGTCTAGTCAGTTTTTAACCCCCATGAGGTCTGATCAGCTACAAGATCCACAAGATCCCAGTTTACCAGTTAGCTTCAAATTTCATACAATTGGCACCCACTCTTGCTCAAAGTAAAACCCCAAGAACCCTGCTAGAGACTTTCCTCAATGGAAACTGATTTATTTTTATTTTCTCAAGGTTGGTACTAATTTTAGATACTGACCTCTTTGACCTTTGATTATGAGAGTTCCAGAACTCTCAGGGAAAACTCTTTCAAGTGTTTTTTTTTTTGTTGTTGTTGTTGTTTTACTGTTGTTGTTGTTGTTGTTGTTTTGCAGTGCTGGGGATAGAAAAAATGGCCTCACACATGTTAGATAAGCACTCTACCACTAAGCTACATCCCCATCCCAGGAAAGCTCCTGAGCAGGCGAGAGAGCAAGATCTGAACCAGGGTAGATGCAAAACAGAGTAGAAAGATTATCTACAGACCCCATAAAATCCCTTACAAGCTGGAAAAGAGTGCCATCTAGTGGCTTTTGTGCAGAGGTCAGTTAAATTGTTAAATTTATTCATCATAAATCTGCAGTTAAGAACAAGGTCCAGTGGGAAATTTATTCTTTTGTGATTCTTTTATATCATATTGGAAGGTTATGTAATCTTGTTTATTGGAAAGGGACATTGCTGGATTTAATGTGACATCATACAAGTATTTGTAGCTACTCAGGAGATCCTCGGATCTTGTGCATGCAATATCTGGAATCACAATTCACCTTTTGCAGACATTACTCAGCTTGTACCCACCTAGTTAATTCCCAGCTCTATAGACACACAACTTTTAAAAAGATTTTTTATAGTTGTAGATGGACAACATTCTTTTATTTTATTTGTTTGTTTTTATGTGGTGCTAAAGATCAAACCCAGAGCCTCACACATGCTAGGCAAGCACTCTGCCACTGAGCCAGAGCCCTAGTCCAGAGACACATAACTTTTGCAGATATCACTTACAGGTTTTCTATATTTGGAAGTGACTAGGTTATTAATTGGTAATATCAGGGTCCTATTTCAAGCAAATGTAGGAAAGCAAGGAACAGTCATGTCTAGAATATCAAGAAGCACTTCCACTCTTCCTTTGGGGTTTCAAGGTGAGTCATTGGGAACATGGGGCAACATTGGCATAAGTGGAATTATTTTCTGACTTGGGGGCACCAGCCCACAATCCAAATAATTTCTCTGATTTTTTGCTAGAGTATTAGCCTTTGCTAAAGCCATCCACAGATTCGGGTCCCATGTATTTTTCTGTAAGCAAAGGGATGGGATTAGTTCAGCGGGTAATGGAGGTGAAAAAGGGAAAAAATACATATATATATATATGGCTTTTAGGATGGTGGATCCCTGATTTTGGGAAAGCTGTCCACATCTAGGATGCTCTCGGCTTCTGGGAAGAAACTTTCCTGCTCAGCTTTACCTTAAGGTCCCCAACAGGTGTATAGGGCCCCTTTTAGTTGAGAGAGGTAGATTCAAGATTCATGGCCTTGAAATTTTGCTGCAGAGAGAAACCTGACATGGTCACTTCCAACAGAGACAAGCACAGTAATTTTCTGGTATCATTTCCAAAAGACCCACTCTCTAAGTTTTAGATCATGAAAGTGTTGGTTGTCATCAGTTGGTGGGACATAAAGAGTATATTTTTACTTGGTGGGAAATATGCTTTAATATAATGCATTAAAGCTTTGCCCTATTGAGTTGCGTCAGTTTAGAGTGGAGATACAATTACTGGGGGCCTAGGTCTTCCAATAACTATTTCACAAGGAGTTAATCTTCTCTCCAGAGGGAGTGAATCTGACTGTCATCAGCTGGTAATACCTTTGATTAAAGGCGCTTGAGTTTGTCACTTTAACTTGATACCATTGTGTTTGTAGTATCCCCCTTTTTTAAACTTTTTTTTTTTTTTTTGGTACTAGGGATTGAACCTAAGGACATTTTACCACTGAGCCATATCCCCAGCCCTTTTTAGTTTTTATTTTGAGGCAGGGCATGCTAAGTTGCTTAGGGCCTCATTAAATTGCTGAGGCTAGCTTTGAACTTGGATCTTCCTGCCTCAGCCCGAGCCACTGGGATTATAGGTGTGAGCCAATGTGACTGGCACAGGTTTTTTGTTTTTGTTTTGCAGTGATACAAGTACCTCTATTGCTGGAGATTTTACTCCAGGAATGCCCCATATGGAAAACACATTTCCATAGCTACTGTTATGGTCTTTCTAAGTCTTTCTGTGTGGGAAAGTTTCTATACAATCAGAAAATGTGTACTGAAGGTGGCAAGTGAATGAAATTCATCTTCAGGTGTTCAAATCATCCAGCAGCTGCTGGAGACCTATCTTTTGAGTTTTTTTTTTTTCATTGTCAACAGAATTTTGTTTCTGGCAAACTGAATATTGATTATAAGCTTATCGTCCAACTGTAAAGTTACCCCTTTGATGTTTTTTCCCGATTTGAATCATTTTCTCTGTTCTATGATGAGTCTTAAGAGTACAGAGCTTTTAATCATGGAAGCTGTGAAGCCTCAGTGAGGACAAGGCAGTCATCCAAGTTCTCCATAGCATATGAGACTTATATCTTTTTTTTTTTTCAACTGGGGATTGAACCAAGAGGCACTGTACTACTGAACTACATACCCACCCCTTTTATCTTTTATTTGGAGATAGGGTCTTGCTAATTTCCCAGGCTGACCTCAAACTTGTAATCCTGCTTCTGCCTTCCAAGTAGCTGGAATTATAGCCATGCTCCACTCACTGGGTAATTGGTTAAATGAATGACTGTTGTATAAAGCTGACTAAACATCAGCTTGATGTTTATAAGCCATTCAGTTTCTTCATTACAGTTCTTAGAATTCTTACTTCCTCCAGTGGAATTGTTTTTAAGTTATCAAAAACCTGTCCATGACAGTCCTTTTCTTGAATGTCCTTCAACATCAAATTGATAAGGGCCCAGAAACATGCCAGATTAAACAATTACTGTTTGTGAATGAAAATGTCTTAAATGGCCATGGTTATTACAATAGTGACACATTGATAAGAAAAATTTGTTTACAATACTTTTTTAAAAATATTTTTTAGTTGCCAATGGATTTTTTACTTTGTTTATTAGTACAATATTTTTAATGACACTGAGTCTTGCTATGTTGTCCATGCTGTCCCAAACTCTCGTGATTCTCCTGCCTTGGCCTTCAGAGTGGCTGGGACCACAGGTGCATTCCATAATTATGACTAATGGTATAATACTAGGACTATTTCTAGGAACTTTATAAGTTTCTGAAACATATTAATAACATCTCCTTACAAATATAAGTCAAAGAAATTTTAGCATTACTTACTAGGTGACAATGCTTCACTTATAATTTAATGCATCAAATAAGCCAAATTAGTTTATATCTCTTTTTGTAAAGAAAGCTGTCCTTTTGACAACTCCAAGGGCTGGGAAAAACCCCAAACCTAATTCAAGATGAATAAAAAGACAATTTAGAATTATTTTGGAAAGTTCAAGAAAAAACATGAAAGATTTAAGGCACTTCATCAAAATTAAACCACAAGTCATTTTATACTATAGTCATTAATTTAACCAAAGAGATGCTAACACTTCAAAGGCACATACCAAAATTAACATAATTTTAGTTAACTCTTTTAAGAGAGAGGGCTAGGATTCTGTGAGTGATCAAAAACTTGTAAAGACAACATGAAGCACAGGAATCTTGGTAAGATGCAATTGTCGTTTTCTAGGCCACAACCTCAAACGTGGTTAATAACTCACCAATACTCTAGGAAAACTTTGTTGTTTTAACAGAGAGAACTAAAATCTTGGTTTTCCGTGTACTTTAAACTTTTTAAATTTTTTTTTTAGTTGTAGATGGACACAATCCCTTTAGTTTTATTTATTTATTTTTATGTGGTGCTGAGGATCGAACCCAGGGTCTCACACGTGCTAGGCGCTCTACCACTGACCTATGACCCCAGCCCATGCTATGTACTTTAGATATTAATGTTCCATTTTCAGTAAAACTTCTAAGTAATTTCCTTCTAATCATGACCACTTTGGTCACATGCAAAATTCTTTTCACAAGATTTACTTTCCACAAACCTACAACTTCCTTATCCATTCAGTTTTTGTCTTGTAGTTTTCATCTTATAATTTTAGAACAAGTCATTCTACTTTATGACAAAATTATTTTTCCCCCTCAATAAAACAAAATATCTTCATACTACAGCTTTTCCTTACAAAAGAGCATATTTTATCTCCTGTACAATTTCAAACAAGGTTCCCCCCTTCTTATTTGTATGAATTTTAGTTTCCTATATTAATTAGAATTCTTAACCTTTAGTGACCTTAATTTGCAGTGAACACGAGGAAGCAAGCCATTGTGAATGGCACACCATCCATGTGTAGACTGGCAAATCTATGAATCATGACTTCTAGAAGCATGTGTTCTTTCAAAGTATAACTTGTCAGAGTGGCACAGAACATGTTTACTAACAATTCCAAATATCTTCAGTCTCTGTCACAAGAAATTGTACAGGAGGTAAAATTTTAGTGCTACTCCCTTAGGTTTTGTTAGTTTTTGCTAGCCTTAACAATTAAATTATTATTTATAAAGATTCCCCTCAGCCCCAGCTTTCCAATCTTGATAATAAGAATGTTACGCCATTTCTGGTGCAGGAAGAATATCTTTTACCTGGATGTCTTATCTTACAGATATTTATTTCATTTATTTTTTTAACAACTATGTTTTAGTTATTTGTAAAAATGAGATGTTAAACAGTTAACCATTATAAATTATTTTTCTTGCTAACAAATTTTGTGCTATAGGGATAACATAAGGTTGATGCATCCTATTGATTTTTTAGTGTTTTGCATTCTTTCTTATGACTCTTTCAAGTGAAAAATTTCATCTAGGTAGAAACTTTCCCAATGTGGCCACTATAACTCTATGGTGTCCTTAGTAAATTTCACTCATTTTATCAAAAAATACACAGCTGTGAGCCCATATTTTTTTTTAATAAAGTTAGTGGGTATCCCAGGAAGTGGACTCCCAGACTCCTGGAATCCCAGACTCTTTAGATTTGGAGAAACCCATTTTCATAAGGTAACTACTGGATGCCTCTAACTGGATACAGTCCAGTGAATTGTCAGATTCAATGTGGTCATGGACTCTGTCCATTAAAAAAAAAAAAAAAAGCTCAAATATAGTTACAAAGCTTTTTACTCAAATTATTGGAGCTCAACTTGAAAAGAAAACTTGCTAGTGACCTCAGTCACTGTGTGAGATCAATGGACACAAGAGACCTTTAATTGTAAATTTTTTTGACTCTCAGTGTTCCTGGAGGTTACTGGAATTCTATTTCATATTCCATATCTGATGCTTACCAGTTAAAAGAAAAACTTTATACAAATTAAATTTGACAAAGTTTATTTGAGCAATGACAATATTCATAAACTGGGCAGCAATGTGAGCAATAAAAGGTTGAGACAACACCAACCAGCAATGTGGGCAGACATATTTATAGTAAGAAAAAGGAAGTTATACTATACAAGTTAAGGCTTTGCATTTGCCTCACTTGGGCAATCTGAACAGTGTACAGCCTATGATTGGCTGATAGAATTGGTCAAAATGTAGGCATTGATTATAAGAATATAGTCTTAGGTTACAGTTTTTTGACATTAGACTACAGTTTGTAACACATGGAGGCTGGTTTAATGTCAAACTTAATTTTTCATGATATATTGTTTTTTAGTAAAAATTTATTGTTAAAATCATTCTGTATATTAGTATGCAAAAATTTCTCAGAAAGCTTGGCAGAGTATATTCCTCATGGCTGGGGATTTCTTTGAAGAAAATTATAGATTTAAAAATATAGGGCTGAGATTGTGGCTCAGCCGAAGGCGCTCACCTAGCGTAGGCGGGACCTGGGTTCAGTCCTCAGCACCACATAAAAATAAAGGCATTGTGTTGTGTCCATCTACACTTAAAAATATAATAAATGTTTAAAATATATATATATATATATATTAGTTATCCTCTGCTAATTGTCTATGTGTCATTAAGTGGAAGGCTCCTGTATGCACCGTAAACATTGCTATTTTAACAATATCAAAAACAAGAATGTTTTGATAATTTGAATTTTTAACATCTAAACTTGCATGTTGGTGCATGTAGTATATTTCAAAACGTAGACAATTGTTTCAAGAATAGATTTAATATTGCATTTTCTCCCTTTCTTTCTTCCATCCTTCCTTCTTTCCTTCCCTCCTTCCCTCCTTCCCTTGCAGTGCTAGAGATTAAATCCTGGGCTTAGTGCCATGTTAGGCAAGCACTCTACCACTGAATTCATCCCTAGATCCTATTAACTCTTAATATACAATAGACTTTTAGGGCATTATTCAAATAAAAAACATTACAACAACAACAAAAAGAATTACAGACTTTTTAAAATTGAGAGTTTTGAAAAGAAAATACAGTAGCTATCTATCACTCTAATAAGATTAGTATTGTCATTGTACATTTTTTCCCTACTGTGGACTTTCAAGTAGTTTTCTGTATTGCATTGTATCCTCCTCCCCACTTTTAAATTCATACAAATTAAAAACATATTTTCTTTGTAAGGAAAAACTGTTTGTCTTTATAAATTTCAGGGAATGACTATTGCTATACTGGGACCCACGTTTCAAGATTTGGCAAGAAATGTGAACCGAAATATCAGCAGTCTTTCTGAAATATTTGTGGGTCGTGCTTTTGGATATTTGAGTGGCTCTGTGGTTGGTGGCATTCTTTTTGACTGTATGAATCATGTTTTACTTTTGGGTAAGTAGACACTGATTTTCATTTCTTTGTGATTTTTGAAGAGTTTACAACTTGCCTTTAAGTATGAAAACGGTAGCCTGCAGAGAGGTTGACAACCAAAATGGGTGGTGTTTTGGTGTCCTCCGTGGAAGCTGGGTTTCCATGGTCCTGCTCTCATCTTGGCAGTTCAGGGGAATCTGTGCTGGGCCCTCTGGAAACTCAGATCAGCCCTCAGGTGTGTGTGTGTGTGTGTGTGTGTGTGTGTGTGTGTGTGTGTGTTAGCAATGCTTGGACTTCCTGACCTTGACTGTATTTTAGGCATCCCTCCAGAGTCACCCAATGATTGTCCAAAAGGCTCTGCTCATCAGGGTGTAGGGCAGCTCTCCCAGGGCCACAGAGCTCAGAAGGAGCTCCTGGAATCTGCCCTGGCTCTATGGAGTCTGGGTTGGAAGTGAAGGGGCAGGAGATGGAGAGTGAACTGAGGTAGGCTACATTTTTGTCACTACTGCCCCATGTCAGTGATGACCCCAGACTGTCCTTCCTCACCAGGAAGTAGATGGCAAAGCTTTAATATACTCTGCTTTAAATAATCTTTAAAGAAAATTTATTGTGATAAGGCTCTTTTGGAAGCAAGGAGAATAATTTATTGCAGACGAATAAGTAAATAATTTCTCTTATTTCCAAAGTGTGAGTATGTGTGCACACACTTAATTGTTTTTGATTCTTTGTGGTCCTGGGGAGTGAACCCAGTGCCTCTCAAATGCCATGTATGCATTCCACCAGTAACCTACATGCCAGCCCAAATATATATGTCTTGTATTTTCTTCCTTACTCCCTAAACTAATTTATTTAAAGTTTTGTTACAAGTTACTATAATGATTACATTTCTTTTTGTTTGTTTGTTTTTGGTACCAGGAACTGAACCCAGGGGCACTTAACCACTGAGCCACATCCCTAGCCCCTGTTTATATTTAATTAAAGATAGGTCTTACTGAGTTACTTAAGGGCTTGCTAAGTTGCTGAGGCTGGCTTTGAACTCACTACCCTCCTGCTCAGTTTCCCAAGTCACTGGTATTACAGTCATGCACTACCGCACACGGGTGTGATTGCATTTTTTTGCCTTTTAAATTTGTTACCTCCTATCTCAAACTCCCTTTCAGTTCTTCAGTGTGAAACATTTAAGAACTCTGCATGACTTCTGTGTGTGTGTGTGTGTGTGTGTGTGTTTAATTAGAGCATTATAGTCAAACATGGTAATTGAGTTCATTTTTCCAAAATCATACATGCATGGAATTTGAGTTATTCTATTTCAGTTCCCATTTTCCCCTTCCTTCCTCCTATTCTCCTTCCTCTATTCTTCTGATCTTCCTTTTCCTCATATTGTTTTTTCTATGTATACATAAAGGTGTACATTTATATATGCAGTAATGTGATTTTTATTAAATTTATCCTGCTTTTCCTCACCCTTTCTGTCTCTTCTCCCTTTTTCAATCTCCTTCCTCTACTGTACTGATCTTCCCTGTATCTTTTTGTTATCCAATCCCTCACACTTTTCTCCCTTATTTTGCTCTAGCTTCCACATATGAAAGAAAACATTCAACCCTTGTGTTTCTAATGGCTCCTATTTTTTTGTTTATTACTTTCTCCTCAGGGGTGTCACTGGTGGCCACCTCAGTGGGTCTTTATATTATTCCTTTTTGCAAGACAGCAGTGTTACTGATTGTCATGATGTCTGTTTTCGGCGTCTCATTTGGCATGCTGGATACAGGTTAGTGAGCCCTTCAGTATCATCTCTGGGATTGGGACACTACTGCTGGGAGGAGTAGAGCAGATAGTATTAAACTGTCCCTTAAAATGCTCTTAAAATCACATGGATTTACTGAGTGAATCGTGGGTTCTCCCCATCAGAACCACCCTTTCTGCAACTCTTCTTGCCAGTTAAAGCTCAGATTTTTGAGCATAAAGTGAAATATAAAGAATTTTGTTCTATGAGAGATTGTTGAATTACAGTATCCAAACAGGGAAGGAACCCCTCCTATGGCTAATTGCATTAAAGGTGAGGAGGTTTTCATGTCATGATGAAATTTGACCATTTTAGCATGAGAGGAATTGATGGTTAATAGGATAAAACAAATGTGGAGCCATTATTAGGCTGAAGAAGCACCGAGGCAACCTCCAATTTAAAATGCACCCTGGCTTTTGAGCACAGAGAAACCTGTAGCATGTGCCATTTTCCTTATTTTTCCTTCCTGTGACTTTTCTCAGAAGTTCCCGTTCTCTCACAGTAAAGCTTTTGCATCTGTAATTATGTCTTTGAAACCCTGCTAAATAACATACAGGATACTTATTTAGCATCAAATCCAACTTTCTATGCCTCCCTTCCCTGCTTTAGTATTATTGATTGAATGTGGAAATGTTTTATTCTTCAGGCTTTGGTTGTAAAATTACAATATAGAATCATATTTTTATTGAAAATATCTGATTCAAAAAAAAAAAAAAAAAAGACAGCCGAAGACTTGATGCTTCCAGCCTTTCACCTTGCAGGTGTTCAGACAGGGCGAGTGCAGATCCTGAAAGTTTTCTTGTTCCCTGTAATGGGCACACCAGAGTTCTGGAGTATTCCATTCCTCATTTGCCTCTATTTAATAGGTTAATAATGTTCTTGAGGTGGCTACCAATTCCAAGAAAAGAAAGCTTCAGTAATTTGACTAATATATGATAAGATTTGCCTAATATATATATGTTTATACTACTTAGAAGTACAAGGGATATAACTATTACTTCCCAATATGGTGTTAGCACTGTTTTATAAAAACTCTTTACTCATGTTCTGGGCAATGAGATGAAGTGGTTTACCAGTTTGTAGAATTCCAAGTTTATGCAGATGACAGTTATAAGCTCTCTGGTGGTAGTGGGTGAGAGTTCCTTAATTCAGAGATCTAACTCAGGTGCAATATTTGATGATAACTTTGTTACAATATGCATGCCATGAAATACAGATTCATCCTCTAATAGTAATGACCTATTTTTTAATGGGGTAACTGTGTTTAACATAAATCATTTCCCCATCCTTCATTGGCAGGTGGTAATGTCCTCATCTTGGATATTTGGGGGGATGAAGGAGCCCCACACATGCAGGCCTTACACTTCAGTTTCGCCTTGGGTGCTTTTCTGGCTCCAATTCTGGCTAAATTGGCACTGGATTCCCCAGTGTCTGCTGAAAACCACACAGAGCCTGCCTTTCAGCCTCCAGCCACCAACGGATCATCTGAAGCTGACTCAGCCCCTCTGTTTGGATTGCCTGATGACATGAATCTATTCTGGGCTTATGCTTTTATCGGCACTTACATTTTCATAGTGTCTCTCTTTCTTTTTACTCTGCTTTTCAAGAAAAGCTCAGGGCAGGAAAAATCAAAACCATCTGCTCAGGGATATCGAAGAGCTGAATATCACAAGACCCTTCTCTGCCTCCTTTTCGTGTTCTTCTTTTTTTATGTTGGAGCAGAGGTAACATATGGCTCTTATGTTTTCTCCTTTGCCACCACCTATGCTGGCATGGAAGAACATGAAGCAGCTGGGTTGAACTCCATCTTCTGGGGGACCTTTGCAGCCTGCAGGGGCCTGGCGATCTTCTTTGCTGCATGTCTACAGCCGGGCACCATGATTGTGTTGAGCAACATTGGCAGCCTGGCTTCATCTTTATTTCTGGTGCTTTTCAACAAGAGTCCACTCTGTCTCTGGATTGCCACTTCAGTGTATGGGGCCTCAATGGCAACCACGTTTCCCAGTGGTGTTTCCTGGATTGAGCAGTACACAACCATAAGTGGAAAATCAGCAGCCTTTTTTGTAATTGGTGGTGCCCTGGGAGAAATGGCTATTCCTGCAGTAATTGGAATTGTTCAGGGACAATATCCAGATTTGCCCATAGTTCTGTACACCTGTTTGGGATCAGCAATATCCACTGCTGTTATATTTCCTGTGATGTATAAATTAGCCACCTTGCCTCTGGATCACCAGCGAAAAGCAAATAGAAACAGTGAGTAGCTAAAAGCTTTGCCCTTTATTTCTGGGATATGAGGAAGCAAATGAAGGGAATGTCAGCAAAATGGAATGAAATAGAATTTGAATCGGTGGAAATGAATGATACAATGAGGCATATTGTCATAGAGACATGTAAAAATAGTTTAATGGAGCCCACAGCTGAAGACTCTGACTCCTCTCAAATAAGGTAATGTTTGACTCTTCTTCAGTTAATATTGGTGATTCCCCTCTGAAGCATATTGTCCAAAAACTGGACAAAAGAGACTAACACTAAGAGAAGATGGATAATTTACTGACTTCCTTGAATAATCTCCAGTTCTAAAGAAGGCAGAGCAGCATTAGCAGCTCTGGGCATGCTTTGGGCATCAAAGTTTCCAGATCCATTTATAGCAAATGCTAAAAGGTATTGAAATAGTATCTTCATTACCAGAGTCTTTCACAAACTGCCATTTAATATTGTGACAAATTTTCATTGATGGTTTTTTGAAGGTTTCTATTTTATAATCAATGTCTTCGATTCAATGATGTATAGTAAGTAATTCATTCAATTATGGATAGTATACTATATTCACTGATGTCTTAAAAGTTATTTTATAAGCTAATTTAGTCTCTAGTGATGTACAAATGGGATTTGGAGATACTATGTTCTGATATTAGAAGCTATTTGAGTTAGTATATTAATAGCAGAGGTGTAACTAGGTCTTTTGAGGTCCCTGGCCTACCTCAGTAACAGAGGCTGGGTCTAGGTCTTTCTGTTTCAAGACTTGACTCTCACTGGGTCATATTAAGTACTGTGAACCAGGCTAGAAGTTCAGGGTTTGGAATTCTTGTGTCACCCATCCAGGGCTCATCCTCCCTGAGTTTGAAATACCTGGGAAACCAAAGTAAAGAAAGATGAGATGACTTGGTGGCCCAGGCATCAGGGATGAAAAAGGGAACTTCATATAAGTAGGGCCAAACTGCTAATGGCTATCCTCCAATAAATGACCAGAATTGATGAGAGATTTTGTTTACCTTTCCCAAGTTTTTATGCTGAGTGACCTCAAATTTTTACTGGGATACAATATGTTTGCTGTCTATTATCTAATTTCTATAAATTTGCTTTTGAAAAAAAATTTTGGTCTGTCTTACTGACATATTGCCACATTTTTTGGCCCCTGCCCATTTGCTTTGCATACCCATCACATTATTTAGGTTTCTGTTAAGAACCTAACAACGTGGAAAGGGCTGGTGGAGAAATTAACAAAAAAGAGACTGTTTCTCTTTCTATACTGTACTTTTTCCTAGCCAAAGCTTGAAAGTACCTCTGCTCCCTTTACTGCCCTTCCTCGGGCTGTTGGGCCTTAGGCAGCAGCAATTATCTGTCTGTAGGGAGGCTCCTTACTATAGGGATTCCACTGTCAGCTTCTACTTCTAGAGAGTAGGAGATAGAGCCGTGCTGGGCTCAGGGGTGCACGCCTGTAATTCCAGCAGCTTGGAAGCCTGAAGCAGAAGGATCACAAGTTCAAAGCCAGTCTCAGAACTTATGGAGACCCTGTCTCAAAATAAAAAACTAAAAAGGGCTGGGGATGTGTCTGAGTGGCTAAGCACTCCTAGGTTCAATCCCCAGTACCATTAAAGAAAAAAAAAAAAAAGAAAAGAAAGAAAGAAAAATTTTAAAAAGTACACTTGGAACATCATGCAAATTCCATAAATTAAAAATGGAATGGCTTTTGTGTTATGTTTGCAACACTCCTATTTGAGGCTCTATTGCTGGCCCATGGACCACACGTCAGTTAGGAAGGACCACATTTTAGGGAGTTTGAACACTTTGCTGTTTATGGAAATTTTGTCTATCTTGTTTTAAATCTGATTTTATTTTGTCCTTAGGAGTTTGTAATCCCTGTGTACCCTCTATACATATGTAAGACCCACTACATCCCCATGCAATCCTCTATACACACACACAAAACAATTATCTTTAGTATTCTCCCTTTATCTCATTGACTATTGATAAATCATTCCACATATTTGTGGAGTACCTCCTATTTTTCCATCTGTGTGAGAAAGGCCAGGTTGACACTAGTGAAAGATCAGAGGTTCCTGCCCTCATGGAGCTTTCTCTGTGATGTACAATCCAGCAGAAGTTTCTGGGATGATGGACAAGGTCTATATCTGCATTTCCCAGTAGTGGTACTGGCAACATTGGGGTGAATTTAGCTTGCAAAATACTGTATGATATCAAATGCATTTTTAATCTAATTTAAATTTAAGTACTAGAGGCCTAATGTGAGAAATAAAGCATCAAATAATTCATCACAGAGGATGTTTCCAGGAAGGATTTGTTTGCTGTTGTCTTAGAAATTAACAAGTTCACAGGATGAGAAAGGCTATGTAGATACCTTGTTAAATGGAATAATGTAAACTGTCATGGCCTTTCAGAATGCCCTGATCTTAGTAAATCAGGATAGCAGACAATGGTACTTAGTGGCTCCCAAATAGAAGGTTTGTACCTCACTTATGTGTCAAAGAAGCCAGCAGGCTGATGACTTTGGTAGTCAGGAAGAAGATTTATGCTCCTTTCCCTAAATGTACTTTGACCAGTGGGCATTTGAACTAGATGGAATTAGAGTTTGATTTTTCTTTCTTTCTTTCTTTTGAGCCAAGGTCTTACCATGTTGTTCAGGGTGGCATCAAACTCCTGTGTTCAAGTGATTCTCTGACTCAGCCTCCCAAGTACCTGGGAATACAGTCAGGCTCAAAGTGTGCAACTTTTGGTTGGATTTTTATATTTGTGTTTGTTTGTTACAGAGGATTGAACTCAGGGACACTCAACTACTGAGACACATCCCCAGTGTTATTATGTATTTTGTTTAGAGATAGGAGCTCCTGAAGTGCTTAGCACCTTGCTTTTGCTGAGGCTGGCGCTGAATTTGAGATACTCCTGCCTCAGCCTCTGGAACCGCTGAGATTATAGGCATGCACCACCGCATCCAGCTGTGTAGTTTCATATTTAATGATTTAAAATTTTATATGTTGAAAGTTTATGATCAAAAGAATTTTTATTTTCCCACATTTGTTCAGCAATTATTTTAATTGTGTATTCTCCTAGCCTCCATTTCTTCTTTCTTTCAAAGATGATGGGTTTCTGCACTGAATACTAATTCTTATATGTTTTCTTGTTTTCCATTTGGTTTAGGGGTTTTGTTTTGTTTTGTTTGCAGTACTAGGGACTGAACCTAGGACCTTGCATGTTCTAGGCAAGCCTCTACCACTGAACTACACTCCCAGATTTTGATTTAGGTTTTTAATTTCAAAATGCACTCAGTATCTGATTCTAAAATTATTGCAGTTTGCCTTTGATACATTTGGTTATGGGTTACAGGGTGAGCTGGAGAAAGGTTTCGAAATTATCTGATGACATGAGTAGCACAGGAAACTGGGCCTTTTAGCTTTTGAACAACTCGTATAAGGTGCTTTTACAAAACATGTGTTTTTGATGGTGTGTGATGTACAAAATGCAAATCTTACTATATTATCCATTTACAAGTATGCAGCCTAGTGGCAGGAAGAAAATTCACATTGTTGTGCAACCATCACCACTATCCATCCACAGAACTCTTTTCATCCTGCAAAAGTGAAACTCTGTGCCCATCAAGTAATAACTCCCTGTTCTACCCACCCACCAGCCTCTCACAGTGACCATTCTCTTGTTTTTGATTTGCCTACTGAAAGTACCTCATACGAGTGAAATCATACATTTGTCCTTCCATTACTAGCTTCTCTGACTTAGCACAATGTCTTCAAAGTTCATCAGTGTTGGAGCACATGTCAGGACTTCTTTCCCCCTTCAGCCTGAATAATATTCCATTGTGTGTATGTTCCACATTGTGTTATTTCATTCATCTGTGCAGGGATATTTGGGTGCTTCTATTTTTGTCTATTGTGCATAATGTTACTATAAATGTGAATATATAAATTTCTAGACTCTGTTTTCAATCCTTTTAGGGTATATACCTCTAAGTAGATTAGGTGGTAATTCTAGTTTGAATATTTTGAGGTGTTTTTATTGTTTTGCTTCATTATTTTGGGTTAATCCTAATCCAAGACACCAACTATAAGAAGCGCATAGGGAAATGTATGCTTGTTTATAGCTTCAAACCATAGAAGAACTTTTGGACGATTACAATCAGCTTAGCATCACTCATGTAGTGGGGAATGAACTCAAAGAAAGGTTATGTCAGGCATCTACCTCATGCTTTTGCTCTCTCTCCTTCTGTTTTTGTTTCATATTTGAACAAGTGTTTGAGATCTTACTATGTGCTAGGCACCACAGACTAAGTATGAATGAACTTCCTCTCTTGTCTAATCCCTATCATGTGATTTGGGGTTTAGATCACAATTTTCTGCTAACTGAATTGTCTTGTGCCCCCTTGTTTACAAACATGCAGATCCCTCTGACTGTCTGGTAGCAGATAGTCTGTGCTCAGGAAACCATGGGTTAGGCTGCTCTCACCACAGCTTTGCCCCTTCTAGGGACTATTCCCTCCTCATTCACCTTGTGGGTCATCCTCTGAATATTTCTGGTCCAGAATCAGAAGGAATTTGTCTGACCTGAGTAGATGTCATTGTCTTTATAGGCCTAGCCCTAGAATTTCCTGGTCAGCCTAAGGATGGGTTGATCTTGGCTTGATGCCACTGCTTCCTTGACTGATTGTCCACCTCTACATTCCATTCTGAATACAGGGAACATTAGAAATTAAAGGGAAGATCCATTGTCTATCATGGTAGGACTCAGCTCGGTGACTCTTGCTAATGGGTTCCTAAGTGGCACTGGTAGGCCCTAGAAGCGATGAACTGGTTCCTCTTTTCAATTGGAATGAATAAACAAAATCAAAGCAAATTGCAGATTTTTGTTAGTGGTTAGTGAACTATGATCTTTACCAAGGAAAATAAGCACTGTCCTAATGGGATATCATTTATACTTGAGTGAACTGTGAGTAGGAGATAACTATTAAAACACCAATCCCTAAGGATCAAGAAGTTTCCAAATTCATACAGTTCAGTCATTTAACAGATAGTGTCTCAGCATTTTCCATTTTGGAAACCAGAGCCCTGTGGACAAAATAGGAGAAGACAGGTGGGATTCTTGTTTCGTGGAACTTATGTTTTACTATTTCAAGTAAGGTTTCTGGACACCAATTCTATTAGCTGAAGATCCAGTAAAGCTTATTGCAATTGTTTTCACACAGTTCTGGTAAAGCAACTTAGCTGAGCTCTCTGTCCCTGGTATGTGTTTGTGTTTGTACATTTCCAGTACTTTTATACCTTTGGGAAGTCCTACTTGATTTGGAGTTTGGTAAAAATACTTCGCACAGTGCAGGTGAGATTAATATAGTCAAACCTGCCTAAGAAGTCTGAAACCAATGTTGGGATTTGCTAAGTGCACAAAGAAGACATTTATGGTTGAGCTGGATTGGGGTTTTAGCTCTCAACACCCTGGGTAACTGAGCAGGTTCTCAGTCTCAGCTGTTTTCCTGATTCCTTGCAGAAAATTTTACCTCTAGGAGAATACCCTGATCTGATCCAAACACCCTTTGCCTTGTTGAAGAATGTCTCCAAGACTGAGCATTTCAGAAAGGAAATACTCACCTGCAAAGGAAGCAAGGGAAGTCTTGATTGCTAAATAAAAAATAACAGTTTTTGAAAGAAAAAAATAAAAAAAACTGCCAAGGTTTTCAAGCATGCATTAGTGTGTTCATGATGGAAAAACAGAAGAGCCTTGCATGGTTATGTTCATGAAGGTCACAAAAAACCTTTGGGCATGTTACAGCAAAAATCCATGGTGGAAAATTGCTTTGGCAGAGAGTAAGGGTTTATGGCAAACATCCAAGGATATCTATATGTATCTCAGTATAAAGATATATATTTATATCTCAGTATATATATATAATCAGAACCAGTTAGATGACACTATCATTTTGGTCTTATCTCTGGGTTGAAAGTTTTTTTCCTTTCCTGGATTGTGATATGTCAAATGCTTACTGATACGAAGCAGAGCAAAGTAACATTATGCTTCTGCAATCCTCCAGAATCCATAAATCCCAAGAGGAAAATTATCTAAGGGAAAAGCATGATTGCAGAGTGTATTTTTGTTCCCAAGTCCAAGTGATAAGCCTTTGATCCAGTGTTTTGCTCTGGCAAAAGGTTAGGTCTAAGTCAATACTTTTGTTTGAAATCCTTCCTAAGACACTCATCTCCAACCTGCTGGTTACCTTTCTAGGTAGTTTTCACTCATCAATTTTAATTGCAGTGAGGGGCTGGAAAAGATAGGGGTGATCTTGTAGAATCACATGGCAGTGTCTTAACACTGCCAATGCCCAGCACTTTTACTTAAGTAGCAATTTAATTGAACTTCAGTAGAGTCTGAGTACTGATATTCTAAATGTTCTCCTGTAAGTGTAATGCTCAGCCGAGGTTGAGAACCCCTGCCTTTGATAATGCAGAGAAGTGGAAACTCTGCTCATCAGAGGGATTTTTAAAGACTGATTTATA